GGTTTGGCTGGCTTGAGTTGTGGGGATGGAACCACAGCAACCTGAGCCTGACTGCTTTGTTGAAGCAGCCACTTAAAGAACTGAGCTAAGGGGCAGGTTCGCATCATTTTAAGGATTTTTTTTTTTTTGTTCCTCGCATGCCTTCAGGGCACGTTTGGCCAGAGGGAGAGTTGTGAGGTTCGAACTCCAGCCACCTGAGGCTGACAACTTTGTGGAAGCAGCCACTTAAAGGACTGAGCTAGGCCCAGGCCCCCTCGCATCATTTTAGAAGGATTTATTTATTTGGGGCATGGCATGTGGTCCCAGGGATTGAACCCAGATCCTTGCACTTGCTAGGCAGGCACTTAGACCACTGAGCTATCTCTCCAGCCCTAGAAGGACTTTTAGCAAAATAAATATTTGATTCATTAGAGTTAGAAGTGCAGATCTTGAGTTTTTCCTTAAGCTTTAAGATTTAATTTAAGGGCTAGGGACATAGCTCAGCAGCCTGGCAAGTGCAAGTTCTTGAGTTCAATTCCTGGTACCAAAATAAAATAAAATGAAAATAAAATAAAATTAATTAAATTACAGGTCAAGTGTAGTGGTGCATGCCTGTAGTCCCAGCACTCTGGGAGGTCTGTTAGGAAAAAGGAAAACAGAAGTATGAACTTAATAAAACAGATTTATTTCAGAACAAATCTGAGAGGGACCGTTCTGGTCTTAAAAGACCAGACTGAGCTGCTTACTACAGGCTCTGAGTTCTCTTATAGGGTCAGGGGCATAAAGGGAGAGCTGTGGAAGGAAAAGGTCACCTTGGACTCTGAAAGGGGAGAGCTCTGTGAAAAGCACAGGGTGTTGCTTTGCTGTGAAGCACAGGGCTGAATAATAATGGGAGTTAGGTGGCTGTGCTCACTGGGCCTTATCAATAGATTTTTAGCAGGTGTCCAAGAACAGTAGGGGTTGAGGGGGAGGTTTAAAGCAGTCTCTGCTCAGACCAGGATGCCAGTGGTTGGGTTCTTTCAAGGCTGAGGCAGAAAGTTTGAGACTCAGTCTCAAACTCAGGGCCTTTCACTTGCCAAGTAGGCCCCGGGTGCTAAGCTGTACTCCCGGCCCTCCTTTTGTTACTTTCTCTCTACATTTCCTGTCATACTCCTTAGACCCATGCCACATAAATTCTGATCCCTTCAAGAGCCAGCCAGATAACTCAGCAGATTAAAGCACCTGCAAACAGGAGCAGGGGTTCAGTCCCCAGGCCCCCCATGCTGGCCCAGCCTCCAAGGGGCAACAGCAATTGAGACTGGGCGTGGTGGCACGTGCCTGTAATCCCAGCACTTGGGAGGCTGTAAGCAGGAGAATCACAAGTCTGATCTAATAATGAGACCTTGAACACCCTGTAGACCCTTCCTTAATGTTTTTTTTTTTTTGGAAAGTTAATTTTTTTCTTATTTATTTATTTATTTTTGGCAGTACCAGGGATCAAACTTAGGACCTTGTACTTGCCAGGCAGGTGCTTACACCACTGATCTATAT